AAAAAAACAAAAAAAAAAGAACAACAACAACAAGAACAATTCAAAGAAAGCTTGAGATAGATCAATAGAAAGAATTCCAAACAAATAAGCTTTAGCTGACTCACTTGTCTAGCATCTACAGCATCAGAAAACATTTGATTAGGCGGACCAAGATCCTGAACTGCATTACGAATTTCCCTGAGCATCCCAAAATTTATTACTACACAAGCAGGTAAAGATGAAAAAATCAATCTTTGTAAACAAGTGCAGAATATCAACCAGCCACCTAACCTATCGGTTAAAGAGGAGAAACGAGCTCTTCTGATGTTGAGATTACGGTTTGCTCGTGTGCAAACTTCAACCACCTCAAATGCTATGTTTTCTCCTTCCCTATCGCAGTCAAGCCAGAGGATAAGCCACTGACACTTTCTGGCTTCTTCTTCCAGTGTCTTTTCAATGTCTGATTTATCCTAAATCAAGGAAGAATGAGCATTAGCCAACGGTCGACAAGGTGGAGCATTGAATTATGTCACATTATCCCTTACAAAGATATTATTACACGAATTTTCAAGTACATAAATATCAGGGCTATTGCTCAAAAGAAACAAACACCCACTCAAATATATAGAGATACGTCGCATAGCAACATCATCAAATATATTCGCGAGACACCGTATTCTCAGCACTTACAAATGTACAGGGAAAGGAATTTACAAGCTGAAATTAATTTTCCAGCAAAAAGATCACAGAAATTAACCCCAAGCCCAAGGTTTAATAATTGACTCGCACTTTTGTTCAAATTCATGAAACGCGAAAGTTAACACATAAATCCAGTTCGTTACCTGAGGCACATATTTCTTGACAGGGGCGTGGTAGAGATCGGCCGGGTCACACGAGTGCCACTTGCGATAACGGTCGTCGAAATCGAGCTCCATGAGATGGCCAGTGACAGAAGTGAATGACATGTGAAACTGCTGATTGCGAATGGAGCACTCGAACTCGAATATCTTGTTGTATCGAGACCGCCCATCCCTCACCCTCATTCCGCCGCTCGAAGGACTCCTCGAGAGTATAGCCGACACCGCTTTAGCCACGGACGGCTTCTCCGCCACGTTCAGTGCCCTTATAGGCCGCCCTCCGCCGCCGGCCATAGTGCTGATGTACTGTCGCTCGTGAGGAATTCAGTTCAATTGTATCTGGTTGATTGAATATTAAAAGGCTATGGAAATTGGGGATTTCCCGCCTAAGGGGGTGACTCATGATTAGTAGGGGGTTTCACGGTCCGATTTTAATCCAAAAAAACCGTTAATTCGACCGCGAATCGGTTAAATGATTTATTAAAAAAGCCTTTAAAAACCTGGTGGTTAATTTTTTAATAATTCAGAATAATCGGTTCGGTTAACAGATTACTTGCGACAAATCGCCGGTTTAACCGGACCGGACCGATAAGGGGGTGATTGTTTACAAAATAATTTACTCACTTTTATTTCAACTCAAAATCTAACTCAACTTTAACCCAACCCCACTATCTTTAATATTATTCATATAATTAAATAATACAAACAAATCATTCTTACACATCACATCAACTTTAATTTACTATTCATCCACTCACATAATTTTAACTACCTATCATTTCCAATCATTTCCAATCATTTATCTCTTACTTTTACATCAAATCAATTTTAATTGTTTTATTTTAAATATTATTTTAATACATTCTTAAAATTCCACTACAATTAACCATACCACTTTTTTCAAAATTAACTATAGTTAACCAAAATAACTCAATTTGAACAAATTATTTCATAAACAAAATATTTAAAACTTATAACAAATATTTATATACATTCAGTCATTCACTATGGTCAACAAATACAATACATTCACTTTCACTTTTTGGCCTTTTGTTGACTTAATTTTGTAAGACATTATAACTTTTCACTTTTTCTCACTTTCGTTTCTTCATTTTCAAATTTTCTCACCTCCTCTTCCTATTTTTTTGGAAAAAATGTGTATTTTTATACTTATGGGACGAATTGTGTATTTTTATTTCATTATTGTTGTTTTTCCTAATTTTTAGGCCCAAATAATCTCTTTTGAGCCCAAAATTGAAAAATAAAAATTAAACACAAAATAAAAAAATAAAAATTGAAGCCCAAAACAAGAAATTTTGATTTAACCGATTAACCGCCAAACCGGACCGTCCAATGCGGTCCAGATTGTGGCCGGTTAAAAAATAAAATCGGTCCGATTATGGAAAAGAACAAAAAATTAACCGTTAGGTCCGGTTTGGTCATGGTTTGGGCTAAAACCGGACCAATCCGAACGGTGAACACCCCTAATGATTATGTTACCACTGATTTTTTTACCCGAAGAAAAAAAATAATTGGACAAAAACCAAAAAAAAAAAAAAGGTTGTGGATACCTTTTACATGGAATACCTTTTACAGCCAATTAAATTAATTACGTGATAACTTAATTTAATAAATTGAAAACGTATTTTTAAAATATATTTTATAAATAAAATTAATTTTGCAAAAAATAAATTTAAAAAGCTTAAAAACGCATTCTCAAAGTGCGTTTTATAAATAAAATTAATTTTATAATTTATTTTTCCATAAAATAGTTTTCTTAAAAATAAAACTTATTTTGAAAATACATTCAATTTTGCCCTAAAATCAATTTTACCTTAAAATCAATTTTTCTTAAACCGTATTCTAAGAATACGTTTTTTAATTAAAAAAATGTAAAATGTATTTCTAGAATACATTTTACTGTGCAGAAAAAAAATTAAAAAAAAATACTTCGTTTGTCGGGATCAATTCCACAACCAAATATCAGTTCGACAAAATAATATCAATTCATTTGTCAAATGATAATCTAGCATACACTATATACAAAAAGCCAACCACAATATTTTATTCTAAATACAAATATGTTAAAATAACAGTACAAAGAATCGAAGAAAAAAAACATGTCCCCAAAATTCCCCGAATACAACACAAACTAACTAGGTGTGAATGGATTCCTAGATCTGCGCTGTCGGGACCCCTTCCGAGGCATTGGTCGTGAAGAAGACGAGGCTTCACCTTTCTTCTTTTTGAGAGGCGTGTGAGCTTCTTCTTCACCGGGTGAGTAGTTATTTTTATAAAAAATCACAAATTCGACTGGAAAAAAAAAATTGTTAAGTAAAAAATTCTCACTTTCTTCGTCTTCTTCCTTAGGCCCGAAGTTTTGGGGGACGTTTGATTGTTTGGGTATCGTTGTCGTTCTCTCCAAGGTCTTCTACCTCCACCAATGTGGTCAGCGAGTTGATGCCTCGCCGTGTGTGAATGTGTCCTCTGAGATGGGATGTAGTCCTCCTCGGATAGAACTTGACTGAATGACACCCCTTGCGTAACATCTTGGCCTCCAACAGTCAGAGAAGTATAGACAAGGTTGTAAGACTGTTGGATTGCGGTCTGTGCCCGTGGGGGGAGTGTAGGAATCATGTCTTGAATACTCGCTAAGGAGTTATAAACCCCCTGCAGGGCTTGAGTCTGAATAAAATTCAAAATAAATAGTATGAAACACAAAAACAAAAGAACAATAATTATAATAAAAAAAACACAAATTATGAACACTTACGTCGCACTTCTCCCGCTCGTCAACTGGCTGATAGCCGCCGTGTAACACCCCACTTTGATTTTAAAGAAATTCTGGACTTTCCAAAAATTAGTATAAAATTTTTCGAGATCATTTTCGAAATTCAATGGGTGTTAATCAACATTTTCATAACCCAAGTCTTATCTGGGCCTACGGGGATTCATTACCCGGTTTTCACAAATGGTTTTCATTTACCAAAACACATCACGAGACATAATTCTCAACACGAATATTTAATCAAACTATAATACCCAACATCAGGGTTCCATAAATTTTCCAAAAACACACAAGTCATAAGTACTGGAAAATAGTTTAATCAAGTCTCATAATAAAGGTCCATAAAAGCCTTATTATTCTACGGAAGCATAAAATGCATCATAAAATGACCGACCCACTCGCCTCTTCTCGTCACCCAGCTCCTTAACCTGCATCGGTGAAGAGCAGGTGGGGATGAGCACAAGATGAAAAACGTGCTCACCGCTATGCACATATATCACAACATAATAATGAAGAGGAGGTATGGTTAGAGTATGAACATAAAACAATTATTCTGTCACGTCTCCTAATCACATCACAACATAATACCCACGTGTACACATCTTTCATTAGCCAAGGAAAGGGGATTCATTACCCTAACTCATGGGGGTACGTGCCACTGTAACGGACACGGCCTTTCATTAGGTCTTACGGAGACTTGCCTCGCACGGGCAACCGTACCGTAACTCGACGGGGACAACCGTACCGACGGCCGACATCGGCTCACGCCGATAGGCTACATGATTTACATACATACTAAAATCATACCATCTCAACAAGAAAACACATATATGGCATGGCAAGTTTTGAATAAGTAAACCCACCTGGATTTCGGATTGACGATAACAAATTCAAAAAGGCGTAGGTCGAGGCTTGACTCCTCAGAAACCTACATTAAGTCAAGATCCTACAATTATTATCTATCCCGACTTAAACGGAAGACACAAATCAGACTTAGTCGAACTTGGTTCGACTAAGTTATTCGTGAAGTCCTGTGGATGTTGGAACACTTAGACTCGACACTATACTCAAACAAATCATACATGGGAGTTTACATAAATCATAGTAATGATTGACCAAGTCCCACAAACAAGAAACAAAAAGTATGCCGATTTACAGTTTTTAACACAAAAATCATATTTCACAATCACTAGCCAATAATCACTAAAATTAAGTTGAACAAGTTGCCCTATGAATTAGACTTTGCAATTTTAACCAAAAATACAC